CTGGGCTCAGAGGGAGCGTCCGAGTGAGTCCCTGCGCGGGCCCTTTAGAGGAGCTGCTGGGGCTCCCGCAGCCTCCACGACCCGCAGGGACAGTCCCCGCTGGTTTCACAGCCCGGAGTTGTGGGGACATCTCTTCCTGGCCCTGGAGCCCTGGGCTGGGGGCCTGCTATGGGGCTGGGACCCCTCCCTCCTCTGGGAAACCTCCACCGCCGGGATTCCCTCCTGGGTTTCAACCCTGGCACCGGGTGTGGGCCCGAGGCTGCGTCTCTGTGATTCAGCCCTGATCCGCCCGCGTCTGCGCCCCTCCTACCGTCTCAATGCTCCTTCAGCTCCCTGGTTGTGGGGCTTCTGTTCAGCCAGATCTCAGGAGGCTCTGAGTGATGGTGGTTCTGTGTTTTAGTTGTAATTTTGATGTGGTTGCGGGAGGCAGCGGGCGCAGCTGTTCCCTGCACCGCCATCCAGTTTCTCGGCGACTGGACTCCTGGTTTATACCACTCACAAAAACTGACTTGATTCAGAATGGATTGAAGGCATAAACATCACAAATGAACTGCAAAACTGATATAAGCAAACATAGGGGGAAATCGCCTTGACATTTGTCTTGACCAGTTTTTTTAATATGACACCAAAATTCCAAGAAAGAAAAGCAAAGATTGATAAATGTAACCATATCAAACTGAAAGCTGCTGCACAGCAAAGGAAACCATCAACAAAATGAAAAAGCAACTTATGGAATATATTTTCAAATCATATGTCAGATAAGTAGTTAATATCCAAAGATACAAAGAACACATATAACTGAATAGCAAATAAATAAATAAATCTGATTTTAAAAATGAGCAGAAGAACTGAATAGACATTTTGCCAAAGAAGACATACAGAGGCCAACAGGTACATGAAAAGGTACCTGCTTAACATCACTAATGATCAGGGAAATGCAAATCAAAACTGCAGTGAGGTATCACCTCATGCCTGTTAGACTGACCGTTCTAAAAAAGATAACAAATAAGCAGTATTGGTGTGGGTGTGGAGAAGAGGGAACCCTTGTGTACTCTTGGTAGAAATGTAAATGGTGCGTCTACCATGGAAAACAGTATCAAGGTTCCTCAACAAATTAAAAGTTGAACTAACATATGGTCCCACAAACCTGCTTCTGGATATATATTCAAAAGAAATGAAAATTGGAGTTCAAAGAGATATCTGCACTCCTATGTTCACTGAAGCATTATGCACCACAGCAAGGCACAGAAACAACCTAAGTGATTGGCAGTGGATAAGTGGGTAAAGAAGGTGGGTTTATGTAGACAATTATTCATCCATGAGAAAGAAGGAAATCTTGTCATTTGTAACAACGCGGATGGACCTTGAGGGCACTATGCTTAGTGAAATAAGTCAGACAGAGAAAAACAAATACTGTATGGTATCACTTATATGTGGGATCTTTAAAAAGCCACATTCATAGAAACAGAGTAGTATGGTCGTTACCAGGCATTGGCGTGTGGGGGAAATGGGAAATGTTGGTCTTTTGGTGATAAGATGAATAAGTTCTGGAGATAGAATGTGCAGCATGGTGATTATAGGTAATACTACTATATTATATACTTGAACGTTGCTAAGAATGTAAATTAAATGTTCTCACCATAAGAGAAATTGTAATTGTGTGACATGATGTAGGTATTAGTTAACACTATTGTGGTAATCATTTTGCATTATATAAGTGTTGCAATATATGTGTCTTATCAAATCAAATCTTAAACTTACACAATATCACATATCAATTATATCTCAATAAAGCTGTAAAATATTAAAATTTAATAATATTTCAAAGCTAAAGATATAGAACACACTTTATTTGGATGTTATGACTCTATATTAATGCCCTTCTTTAGAAGAGTCCATATTTAGTTACCACTTTGTATTTTCTACTTGTAAATCATGTTGGGACACAGTCATAGCTCTACCAGTGGCAAATTGGGAAAAGAAGCAATAGAGAAACTAACATGCATTAAATGTTTACTATGGACCAGGTACTGTGCCAAATAATTTTACATCTGCCTTGATGTCAGGCAGTCACTAAGTTTAATTGAATTTTAGGTCCCTGTGTCTAATGCATAGTTTAATACATAGGACGCCTTCAAAAGTGTTTGTTGAATGTTATCTCTCTTTATATATCAGGACCTAGTAGGGTTTACTCCAGAAATGGAAGGATTATTCAACACCAGACTGTACTAACCATTTCTTCTGTTTTCTGTCTCCTAATGCTTTGATATCTGGGGTCTTTGCTGACCCTGAAAGGACTGCCCTTCCCAGGGTTAGCCATTCCTAGAGATATTAAACAACTTATCCATGAGAGTGCTTTTCAAATACAAACCAACCTATCCAGAGCCCACACCACAACCAACGCCATTATTGGGCTCTCACTCTGGGCCACTATCCATTTGCCCTAATCATCCCAGGATCAGGTACCAGACAACTGGGAACAGCACCTATGCCCCAGAGCCACTGAAATTATTCATACTAGCCAATCATAAGTATATGTACCCTGCCTCAACCTTACTTTCCCTCAGGAACCACAATAAATGCTCTTGCCCACAGTTTCCTCTCTTCCTCTGCCCCTGGCCAACTCCTGTGCTTCCTTATGTGGCCTCCCATGGCATAGAGTGCCCCCTCCTCTGGGAAACTAAGTAATAAACTCTCTTTTCAATGTTAATCATCAGATCTGTTGGCCTTACTCTCTCTTAAATAGTCTATTAATACACTATATTTTAAAACAATCTATCAAGAAGCATTCAAATTAAACTGAAGGCTGTTGCATGTTTGTTTTACCTACTGACAACTAGTTGAATCTAAAAACACTTAGAAAATTCTAATTTAATAGCTAAATATAGCAAATAATCCTCATTAAATGTTCACTAGTGAGAAAATGTTAGCTACATTTATGAATATGTTGATGTATAGTAATAAGATGAGCTCATATTTCCCAGTTTCTGAACACTTTAATATATATTATCTCAATAACCTTCAGAACAACCATATTGTAGTACACAAAGAAATTTATATTGTTTTTATTTGTATTGCTCAGAATACAAATGTTTAGTGTGGTTAAATGAATTATTCAACCCTCCACAGCTTTTGGAACAAAAGCGGAACTTTTTAGGTGAAATACATTTTATTACTTTTTGGGCACTGTTATTGATTCTTAAATATTATTTTTAAAATAATAGGAGATAAAGACAGAGAAAATTTTAAAACAATAATCACCTGTGCTCAGAGGTAAAATTGCTCCTCACATAAAAACATTATGAATGCCTCTCTATGTTAACAAGTATTTACAATATAACTTTAATGGATACTTGAAATCTACTGTATAGTACTGTTGTTGCATATTTAGGTCTTTTCCACGTTTTCACAATAATTAACCTCCTATGTTCATATATGAACTTAGTGTATGCCTATGAGTCAAAAGGATACATATCAGGCTTTAGCTCTTTTCTAATTCACTGGTTTATATAGTAAGACATTAACATTTCTGCATAAAAGTTCCCTCATTAGAAACTTGAAACTGGCAATCCTCACAGGACTGTTGTGAGCATAAAATGTATAATACTCATAAAAATGCTTTGACAAATTGAAAAGGTATTTTCAAAATCCTAATTTCATTGGCTGACTATATATTTTATTATTAACAGGTTTGAAACCTCAAAAAGGCTTTTGGACCAAGTGGAAACTGAAAGAACTGTCCACAACAACCATACATGGTACCAAGAAAGCACCTTCCAAATCCATAAAGGAAAGGATTGCAAGAAGTCAAGAACGCATATCAAATTGTAAGTAAATTTATGATAAATTGAAGATTAAAATAGCCAAAATCAAGTGTGCTAAGTTATTTATTTGTCAGAATTTTCTAATGATTTATTCTTTGGTGGGGATCTTCAGATAACACTTGATTTGTACATTGAGGTTATAGTAGCAGCTTGAATATTGCTTTCCCTCTTAGTTTTTCATCATAGAAGTTATATGTGCTTACCTCCTTTTCCAATTTTGCACATATTTATTCTCATATTTATTTGTAGGAACTTTTCAGGCACATTACAAATATTCTTACTTAGCTGTATTGCTAACTGGTTAATAATGTCATTTGCCAATAGATCAGTTTAACTTTTTTTTCAGTAAATTTAAATAATGTTTCTTTAGAGTCTCAGTTTTGTGGCATGTTTGTCAGGATTCACCCAATATTATGAAAATTTCTACCTTCCTTTTCTAGTACTTCTTATTTCCATGTTTTATCTGACATTTTAATCCATTTGGAATTTATTTTGTTATAAGGAAGGTAGCCGTATTCTACTATTTTGTTTTCTCCAATTGCTGCTTATTAAATAGTCTACTTATGGGCTACTTGAAATATCAATTCACTTGGATATATTTTTGTAATCTCTTCTGTTCCTTGAGCTACATGCCGAATTCCTGAACCAAACTTCTCAATTACTATAGATTAATAAGCACTATAAGGCAAGTTTATTTCTCTCTTGTTTATTACCATATTTCTAACATGAAACATAGGTCTGGTTGGTGCTCAGGCCTCATTTCTGACTCATTAAATCAGAGTCTCCGGCTCAGGATTTTTTAAAGCTACCCAGATGATTTCAATGTGCAGGCAAAGTTAAAACCACTAATGTTGAGGGAAATACCTTTCCAATCTTCTTGATACAGGCCAGAAGATGGAGGGATTAGCCTACTCAACTACTCTTCTGAAAGCTGTTCATCCATTAATTTGTTTCTAAAATTAATTAATTACTGCTCTTGGGGTTTGTGCTGTGATTTTCCCCACTCCTATCCTCATAGAGATCATTCTGTCTGATTTCTATCTTTTAGTAATTACATGAAATTTCTTTTTGCTGTTGCCATGGGTTTTCCCAGAACTTCATACACAGTTGTTATTTTGAATGGAGAGGTACTTTACTACCTTGACCCAGTCTTCCATATCTGTGTTTACTTCCCACTCTCACATGTAAATAACAACTTGGCTGAACATAAAATTAAGGAATTTGGAGGGAGCTCTTTATTTCGTTAAAATTTTAACTTACAGAAAGTGATAGGAATAGCATAAGAGATCCCTTTATATCCCTGATCCACCAACTGTTTAAATTTTACCCTATTTTATCATTCTCTCTCTTCTTTTTTCATATAGCATTTAAAGCTATAGATTTCTCTAAGCGCTGTTTTAGCTACATTCTACAAATTTAGGCATGTTGTGTTTTCATTATCATTTAATCAAAATGTATTCTAATTTTCAATATAAATTCTATTTTGATCCATGGGTTATTTAGAGATATATTGTTTAATTTCCAAATATTGGGATTTTCTAGATATCTTTATAGTTACTGATTTCTGATGTAAAAATATACTCTATATGATCTTTTGCAATGTATTGAGACTTGCTTTATGGTACAGTGCATGGTCTATCTGGGTGAATATTTCATGTGCACTTGATAAGAATGTACATTCTGTAGTTGTTTTATAAATCTTAATTAGATCAATGTGTTTGATAGTATTATTCCAGTCTTCTATGTCAAGGGTTAGTGAACTATATCCTATGAACCAAATATGGCCTGTAGCCTGTTTTTCTGTCTTGTGAGCTAAGAATGATTTTTACTTTTTTTTTTTTTTTTTTT